TGCCTTTTGGCACGCTGAAGCTTGCATGAGGGAGAAGTAGCATCTGCCTGCAGAGGGTGGAGATTATTTCCAGTCCGTGATCCTCAAAGTGAAAGCGGAAATGTGAATTGAATCACGGCTCTCAGCCATCATTCAGTCTCTTGAACTCCATTCTGGGAGGGTTTTTAAAGGATTAACTTTGGGCATAGAGGACTGGTCTCTCTTGACTTGTTGTCAGTGCAGGAGACGGGCACCTTTAGATGGCAGTTTGGAGATGGAAAATAACTTGGTTGCATCGGATTCCTGTCTGTGTGTCAGTCCTCGAGTTCAGGCTGTGCCAGGATGTAGTCATAAGGTGTGTCAGCCCTCTTCCAAAGTGCCAGTTTATTCTCCAGAATGTAGCTCTCCTTTTTCTAACCCAAACTTCTGGCTGCTATAATTTCCAGGAAAAACCTAACGAGATGGCTTGTGTGAGGTGCAGGCACATTTGCCTGAGTCTGTGGAGAGCCTTCTGAATCCACGGGAGGGTTCTCCCTTCTTTCAGTGAAGTATTAATTCGGGTGCCAGGTGATAGTAAACAGCTGCCAGTGTTCTTGGTGATTTTACTGACCCATTTAAGCCCAGTATTGTGTTTCTAAAATCAACCTCTTACACTTGGCATAGGTTTTTTAAGGTGGTATTAGTTTAGAGATGTGAAAAGAAAGGTCCTGAGGTGTTTTTATGGTAGTATCCTAGGAAAAGTGCATATGGACTTCTGTGAGAACAAAGACAATTGCTAAATGTATTTTCAGTGGTGGAACAGAGCCCTGCTACCCCCAAAGGCTCCAAGATGGACTCGCACCACTAAGGACTAACTCTGAAGAAGTAGGTTTTTTTCATTTTCTTAGTAATTTGGGGTCTTCAGTTGGATTTTTTTTTTTTTTGTTAATTTGAACTCTGATGGGTTCCAGACTTTTCAGATGGAGTTCACTGAAAATAGTTATGTAGTTTGTGCTCGAGGTCTATCTGAGAATGCTTTTGGTGAGCAACCACATTTTCTAAATCCCCTAGCAACATTAATGCTGAATTGGGGTATTTTTATTCCATGCCAAAGATTTGTATGCCATTTTTTGCCCTTGAGCCTCTGTAATTGGCAGATGGTATTTGTGATTTGTCTGTATCAGCAAACTGTTAATTACAAACTCAGAAGTATTAGAAGTCATATTATTACTAATATTAGTATTTTAGTATTCAGTATAGAACCTTTAATGCACAAAGATTTTATTTCCTAGAGAAATATGTGATTGAGGTAAAGTTTTTGTATAATGATGAAATTTTCAAAATTTCAGTTTCGGTGTTTTCTTTCCAAGCTTAGTGAAGTTTAATGAAACACAATTGTGCTACGTCCGTGAGTGTGAGCTGGGTTGGACAGACTGTCACTGAGTGCCACCTCTGTACTAATGTGTTCTTGTTTGTAGGGATTCTTTGCTTTTGGATGAATGTTCCTCCTAAGCAACTCCGTGTATATTCTTTTCTTTGAGGCAAAAGGTGGGAGAATATGATTTGTGTGAAAGATGCTGTAAAAAGCCAATTAGAATGTTTCAGATAAACTTGGGGCTGCAGTGATGTTCAGCCAAGCACTGGAAGTCTCAACGTCTCCAATACTCTGCATGTTGTTATGAAATAATTCTCAGAATTTTGATGTCCTTTACATCATTTTCCCATATTCTTTTAGTTGTCTTAAAATTCTCCACTCAAAAAAAAAAAAAAATCAAAGATAGTATTTGGCCATAAAACTAATGGCTTGGAAGGCATCTCTGTACCTCTTCAGCACCATGGCAGGGATGCAGTGGTGAGCTTTGAATGGGACCTTGCTGAGGCTGGGCTGGAAAGGCGAGAGAGAAAGACAACCAACCGGGTAAATAACCCGTGTCATGCCTCGGTGCTTCAGCGCCAGCTGTAACGGGGTGGGAAGAGCCGTTTCCTATCTCATGGAAGGATGACAGGAGCGAGTGCTTTCCGAGGTGCTCAGCTGCCTCTGTAACGGGCTGAAAGAAGCAGAAGATACCTTGTGAATATAAATAAGCGCGTGGCTGTTCCACCTGGCCAGACCCCGCTGGGAAGGCGCTGACGGTACGAGACTGACCAGAATCTCTCTGCAGGGCTGTCAGGGGAGCGTGGCAGGACTTCAGCCCCTCGGCAGAGCCTCTGCGCGGCGGTGCCCCGGCGGCAGCGCGGCTGTGCCCGCCCGGCCGGCGCACGGGGGCGGCTGCGGAAGCGTGTGCGGGCCGGGCAGCGCCGGGACGAGCCCCCGGGGCGCTCCCTCTGCCGGCCGGGCCCCGGGGGCCGGGACAAGTCGGGGCGGGGCCCGCAGAGGGGCCGGTTCTCCCTCCCGCCCCCGTCCCGGCGCGGTGACCCGCGCGGGAGCGGCTCCCGGCGGGAGGGCGGGGAATCCACGCCGGGATTTCGGTGACACGCTGACATCAGGGGGGCGCGGCCGGCGGCGGGCGGGGGCTGCGCGCTGAAAGCGGCGGGGCGCGGCCCGGCTCACTCCGGCACGGCGGCGGGGCAGCGCGGAGCGGCCCCGGCACTGCCCCGGCGGCATCCGCGCCGCCAATGTGCCGCGGGAGGCGGGCGCTCACCCCGGCCCTAGGTAAGCCCGGGCGGCGCTCGCACGGCCCGTCCCGCCGGGTCAGGTGCGGGCGGGCGGCGGAGGCTCCCCGAGCCCGGGCGGCGCTCGGCTGGGCTGGGCTGGGCTGGGCTGGGGGCGGCCGCCGGGCGAGGCGTGCGGGAGGCGCGGGAGAGCTGAGCTCCGCTGCGGGGCGGCGGGCGGGAGAGCCGGGGGTCGGCTCCCCGGGCGAGCAGCGCCGAGCCGGTCGCGATTCGCTGGTCGTGTAGAACCTCCGGGTCGGTGCTTTGCCTGTCCCGCCCGAGCTGACGGGGGTCTCTCTGGCGTGACCCTCTCGGGATAGCGAGGAGCCTGCGGAGCCCCAGGTGCCGGGCTGCGGTGTGCGTGGCCACCGCGTCCTGCCCGTGCCCCGAGCCTGTCACCCGGCCCCCGGCGGCGACAGCCAGCACATGGCTGCGTGCAGGGAGCTCGCAGGGCCATTGCGCGCTGCCGCTGGCTTCGTTCGCAGCTTGCTCCGGAGAGCGAGAGCAGCTTCGTGGTTGGTTTAGAAAAAAAAAAAAAAAAAAAAAGGGGGGCAAAAAACTGAAACGAAAAACCCCAACCAAAATTTCTCGCACCAGGGGTTGTGGTTGCACTTTGCCAGACGGGACTTGCGGCGAGGACCATGCGGTGAAGCCGAGCGCCGGAGCGGGACCGCAGCCCTGCACTCACGGGCCGAGGAGAACAAACAGCCCGAGCAGGAGCCGCGCACCCGCCGCCTCTTCCCAGAGACCTGCATCGCAACAGCCCCGCTGCCTGCCGCAGCCTGCCGCTGCCTGAGGCTCGATCCAGACACACCGCTCTGCAGGAAGGGCTGGATTTGCTGCCCGTCGCCTCCGGACCGAGAGCCCCGCTGCCGAAGGAGAGCGCTGCTCCCCTGGGCGCCCCGCGGAGGAGCGAGCCCGGGGCGGGCGGCTGATGCTGACCCCCAGGAGAGGGGGGCTGCGCCGGGCAGCACAGCGGGGCTTCCCTCCGCTGGCCCACTAGTGGAGATCGGCGAGCGAGGGCTGTGCGGGGACGAGGAGCGCAGCCCGCCGGCCTTCCCCGCCCCGCGGGGCCGGGAGGGCGAGGAGCCGGGGCCGCGATCCCGCCGCCCCCCGCCCGCTGGATTTGCCGTTCCCGGTGACTCCCCGCAGATATATCAGTAAGTTGGGGACCCGCCGAGCGCTCGCAGCGGGGCCGGCGCTGCCGCGGCGAGCAGGTGCCGCGGGGCTCAGAGGCGCCCGCCTGGCGAGGGGCGGCCCCCGGCCCCCCTCCCACCGGCCCCCTCCCGAAATACAGGGACCGGGATCCCGCGGGAGGGCTCGCGGGGGACCGCAGTGGGCTGGGAACGAGCGGGAGGTCAAAAACACCCGCCAAAGGCTCCTGGCAGGCGGGGGGCGGAGGGTGCCGGACTGCGGCGCGGGGAACCCCCGGGGCTGAGTGGCCGCTCCCCCCGGCGCTGCCGCTTTAAGCACCGGGTATTCCGCCCTCCCGAGGCAGCGCCGGGCTGGGCTCTGCCCTCCCCTGTGGAAAGGAGAGAAGGAGGGAAAGAAAAATAAAAAAAAAAAGAAGCCCATGTTTTCATTCATAACTTTTTTTTTTTTTTTTCCCCTTTCCCCTCCTCTTCCTTCCTCTCCGTCAGCGCCGCGATCCGCTCCGCTCCGCTCGGGGCGCAGAGGGCGCCGCGCCGCCGCCCGCCCGGGGCTGCGGGAGCGGGGCGGGACGGGGCGGGGGGGCTGGCGGCGCGTCCGAGCGGGTGCGGGGAAGGGGAGAGAAAGGAAGGGAAGGGGGATCCCACCCCCCGAGGTGTGCGGGGAGGGAGCGCAGCTCCGGGTGCAGAACCGTAAGGGCTCTCGGCGCCTGCACCGTACGTTGTTTTATTATTTTGTCTTGCTTATTTTTATGTTATTGTCGGGGGGGAACCAGTTTACGACCGATCTGCGCGGGGGTGGAGGTGGCTGGTTCGACTCTCGCCTCGGTCTGCAGCTGGGCTTGTCAGTCTGCGCCGCGTTGATGTTGCGCTTTCCCCCCAAAGATGGCACTGGATGTCTTTCGCATTTTCTTGGGATATTGTTTTTCATCCCCTGGGGAGCCCAGCTCCTGGCTGGTACAGCTGTAAATCTTTCCCTTTTCGCATTCATTCACCCTTGGACTGTCGTGGATTTGTATTCAGTGCTCGTGAAGAAGGCGGCTTGTTGTGTGGGGTAGGAGGAAATTCTTTGCTGTGAGGGTGGTGAGGCCCTGGCACAGGTTGCACAGAGAAGCTGTGGCTGCTCCGTCCCTGGAAGTGTCCAAGGCCAGGTTGGATGGGGCTCTGAGCAACCTGCTCTAGTGGAAGGTGTCCCTGCCCTTGGCCAGGGAGGTTGGAACTGGTTGGATGGTCTTTAAGGTCCCTTCCAACCCAAACCATTCTGAGATTTTATTTTATGAATTAGAAGTGAGCGTGTTTGGTTTTCTTTTTAATCTGGTGGCCCTAAAGCCCACACAGGTGACGCTAGATGTAAAATGAAGTCTTTGACTGCTGGGTGAGCACAAAGACTTTGTGTCCTGGCAGAAGCTGTCGCTCACTGTTCATGCTGACTGTGTTAGAAGAAGCTTTCCTGTTCTTGTCGTCCCTGTTCTTCCACGACACAGTGCCCTTTTCTCTGTGGAGTGGGGAACAGCTCTGTGCTAGTTGTGTTCTGGGTAGATAAGACACTTCCTTAGGATTATTGGATGAATTTTGGAAATGCTTGATACCACTTAGCTTTCCCTGCTTTTCAGGTAAACAGGTATGACATCTTGGAGGGGAGTGAAAAGGTAAAAAGGGACTTTTCCTCTGGCTGACAGTAAAGAAAATCAGGGTTTTTTCCTTGGTTCCCTGTATAAGTGTGGCATTTAAATACTCAGCTAAATTTCTGTATAGGTCCAGAACTGTCACTGCAGTTTTCTGAGTGAGCGTTGCAATCTTCATGTTGCCAGCTGACAACATATGTGACAGTTCTACTATTCTTCCACTATTTAAAAGACTAGAAGATGTTCTATTTATTTGAGAAGCTTTTAATCTGTCTGATGAAAATGGATTTGTTCTTTGTTTGTGTTTTGAGGTTGTTGTTGGGGTTTTTTAATCTGCTCTTAACATTCTTATGAATCCTCAGGTACTTTTTGTCTGACACTTAGTTCATCTTAGCCTTTTCTACCCCATTTTTCTTTCACACCTTGGCCTGTGGTCAGGAAATACTTGAAAACAGGTTGTTTGCACCCTTGCTTTAATTTTATAAGGAGCCTGTTAGATCTGTAGGCTGAGTTACTTTCTCATAGAAAATGTCTTGGCCACTTGACAGCACTTAGTTCAGGACTCTGTAATGCACATACGTCACTTTAAGAAGGAGACTTTCCAAATGCACTAGGAAGCAAATTTGTTGAGCTTTCTGATGCTGCAGATTCGGAGAGAAGAGAACTAGTCATGTTCCTTACTCTGCCATGTGGAACATGAACATGATGGTGTTCTTCCCTGTTTCCAACTCAGTTTTGGGGGCATTCGGAATTGCTATTGCTAGTTAGGCAGATGTTGAGTTCAGTAGCAAGGGAGAAGCACTTCCCATGGCTTGCCAAGCAAGCATACCAGCTAATACTGGTTTTTTTTAGATGGCATGGGGTCTCCTTTGCATTCCTCATCTATGATGCCATATCCATACTCTCCCCACTACTGGAGTTTGGCCAGATCCTCAGCGTTGCTGTAATCCCCTGCTGAAAGAGATCAGTACCAGGTGGCTCGGGCAATTTGGGCTTTGTCAGATCATTTCTGTTTTCAGAAAGTCTCCGGTGCTTTATCCCTCTTCTGCCCTTGATCTTGTGTATGTGTGTGTACATGTACACACGCAGTGTTTATTTACACCTTCTGTCTTCTTCTTACTTTAGGGTTGCAGATGCATGCCAGGTTCCCGCTGAATGCCAGCAGTAGAGATCACTCCAGATGGAGCCCCAGGGTCAGCATGGCAGCGGCGGTTCCGTGGTGGTGATTCAGCAGCCCTCCTTGGACAGCCGGCAGCGCTTGGACTATGAAAGGGAGAGCCAGCCCACAACGATCTTGTCACTGGACCAGATCAAGGCCATCAGGGGCAGCAACGAATACACCGAAGGTCCTTCTGTGGTGAAAAAGTCTGCTCCGCGGACAGCACCGAGGCAGGAGAAGCATGAAAGGACTCACGAGATTATACCAATTAATGTGAATAATAATTACGAACACAGGTCCAGCCATGTGGGGCACGTGGCACATCAGCATAACACGAGGGCTCCCGTCCTGAGCCGGTCGACCAGCACGGGGAGCGCGGCCAGCTCTGGGAGCAACAGCAGCGCCTCCTCGGAGCAAGGGCTGCTGGGGCGGTCACCCCCGTCCCGGCCGGGCTCCGGCCACAGATCCGATCGGACAATCCGGGCGCAGCCCAAGCAGTCGTCTCTGATCGTGGATGATCTGAAGGGTCCTTTGAAAGAGGACTTGACGCAGCACAAGTTCATCTGCGAACAGTGTGGGAAGTGCAAGTGCGGGGAGTGCACGGCGCCGAGGGCGCTGCCGTCCTGCCTGGCCTGCAACCGGCAGTGCCTGTGCTCGGCCGAGAGCATGGTGGAGTACGGCACCTGCATGTGCCTGGTCAAAGGGATCTTCTACCACTGTTCCAACGACGATGAAGGGGACTCTTACGCGGATAATCCCTGCTCCTGCTCCCAGTCACACTGCTGTTCTAGGTACCTGTGCATGGGAGCCATGTCCTTGTTCCTGCCTTGCTTGCTCTGCTACCCTCCGGCCAAAGGATGCCTAAAACTCTGCCGAGGGTGCTACGACCGCGTCAATCGTCCGGGTTGCCGGTGCAAGAACTCCAACACAGTCTATTGTAAACTGGAGAGCTGCCCCTCCCGGGGTCAGGGCAAGCCCTCATGATTTTGGGAGGGAGGTTTACTTCCTCCAACTTTGGTTTTTCAGGTTGTAGCTGATTTTTTTTTTTTTTTTTCCCTTTCCTTCTTCCCCTTCCTCTCCTGTTTTGGGAGGACTGTTCTTTTCCTTTCCCTTCTGTCTCCCCAGCTTCAGATACACAAGTTCTTCCCTTTGCATCTTTGCTCTCCTCTTCCTATTGACTTGGCTGAGTGTGGAGCGTTTCGTGTAGTCGTTGCTGCTCTTTGGTAAGTGTGGACCTGGTATCTGCACCTGTCGCTCACTTGGGCAGGGTCTTTGAGTTTGTAACTGAACCACTCCTGAGAGAGACAGTGAGGGCTCACTGGGCTCTTGAAGCTTCTTGCTCTGTGAATATCTCTTCCCAAAGATGTTTTTCCTTCTCAGCAATTTATGGGGTTTTTTCCTTACCCTTCCGGTAGCCAAGGAAGAATATCTTTCCTGAGTGAGCTGGATTGTGAAATAATTTTTTGTGTGTGTTCTTTCTGGAGAGGGATGTAAAATAAAGGCTTCACCAAATGAAAGGTCTGACTCTTCTATAAGCAGCAGCCTGCTTCTTTTTGCATCTTTTTTTTTCCCCACCCTCTCTTTTTGTCTTAACTTTCGGAATATTCTCACACCTGAGAATTACCCTGCCTCCTGCTTTTTTTTTTTTTTTTTTTTTTTTTTTTTTTTTTTTTTTTTTTTTTACATTTTCAATGTAACTTTGGTTTTTGCTACACTGTGTAGATCTTCACATTGGAGACATTGTGGCTGCAACATACTCATTTGTTTCTTTTCTGTCCAATCTTTGAAGGATATTGCTCGCTCCACTCTCCTAATCCTGTTCTTATAGTCTGTCAGTATCAGTTGATATTAAAGTTGGTGGTGTTCATATATCCAAACAGCCTTCAGGTGTCATTGAGTCACCTAAATGTTCTTGAATCCTTCAAGTTTCTTATGATCCTTTGGTTTAGTGAGTTTAGCTCTGCTCTGTACTTTATAATTTTATTCTGTCCCTGTTTTATTGCCTTAGCCACAAATTGTGGTCCTTTTTTGTATATTTTATGTATAAAACACAAAGTTGAATCCCAACTATTTTTAAGACAAAAGTCTGTTAAAACTTTTTTTATTGTAAAGAATATTTATTATGTGAATCTCTATTATTTTATGATATTTATTGCAAAAGACTTTGAAAATGTACTCATGTCTGAATATAACAAAATATCAATACTTAACGAAATAAGGATGACACGAAGAAAGTACATATGTTAACTATAATGCAGAAAATATATTAATTAATGAAAATGGCTCTTGAGTTCTTTTGTTACAATGACAGGTTGTGAGCTATGTGTGGAGTTTCTCCTTGAGGTCTGTCAGGTGGCAAATAATCTCCTATTGATACTTCAAAACCACTAGTCTGTGCTCTAGTTTAGTTTACCTAATTTTAAGTTCACTAACTATATATCAAATAAGCTTTTTGCTATGGGATATTTAATACAATTGAATATATGTTGTGCTTAACAGTGCCAGAAAGTGGAGGCTCTATTTATTTATCAAAGCATTTGGAAGAATACAGTTGTGGAGGAGGAAACCACAACTTCCAAGTTGGTTGGTTTGTTTTGTTTTTTTTTTCCTTAAGGAATATCACATTAACATGTAAAGCCATTTTAAATTTTCCTACATAAAACTTCCTGGCTGGTTAAATTGTGCAGCAACTGAAGAAATTAACCTCCCAAGCTCAAATCCAAATAAAAAGCAAGAGGCAGGATAAAAATAGTGGTTGTGTTGCTGCAGTTTTGCTAGCTTTGAAATTTGGGAATGTGTGTGTTTGGGCCTATGTCTATGGCTTATTTGGTTCTTTTCCCATACGTTTTCCAATGTCAACTGAAACTATCTTCTGTCTTCAAATTAAAGGCTCTTAAGGGTGACCTAAGTGTCACAGCTACTTGTGGCCATTTAACACACGTTCAACAGAAAAAGCTTTTCATTAGGAGTGAATGGGGAGACCTCATTCTTCTCCTCATGTGGGTCAAGGTTACATTGCAGTTCTCCTGAACTTAAAAGTTTATTAAATGGATGTAATTTCACATGGTGTTCAGAGTAAGTGGTTCTAGAGAACCTCCACTTTAGAACACAGTAATGACTTGACAAATGTGCCATATCTTGCTTTTTTGAGTCCTGATGCTTTGAATTGCCATATTCAAGCTGTCCTTACTCCCAGCACTGCTGATGATTTGAACAAGCTTGTCTTTTTCAGTTAATTCTGTCAAAGCTGATTCAGTGTCATGTAAAAGAGCTGACTGAAAAGCTACATTTTTATCAAATGGCACAGATGACCTCTGGGAGGTCTGAAGTGAAATGATCACGTGGCTACATCTAGGAAAGCCCTTGCTTTGCAGTGTGCATTTGGTACTGCTGTTCTCCCGGCCTCCGTGTGACAAACGTGTCGGGCTGGGAGGCTTGTGGGGCAGTGGTGGACGTATAGGAATTCTGCTTTCCAAGATTTGCTCTTCCTGAGATGAAGCAAAGCCAAGAGAAGAATGTTTCTGAGGAGCAGGCGACTTGCTTTGCGCTACTTTGCCATCACCGATGCGTCTGTAACAGCGACAGCTGCAAACAGGCCTTGTGAGACAATGAAGTCCTTGTCCTGCAGTCGCCGCTGGTCAGAGCTGTCCATTTGTAACTGTACTGACACCCAAAAACACCCAGCCAACTGCCTCTTCATAGCTGGATGGGGTCCAGCTCTGTGTTGAGTAAGTTTGCTTGAAGGGTGTTAGTTGTGCCTCTTCAAGAAAAATGTTACACTGCGTATCTCTGTCTCTTTTTTTTTCAGCCAGGTGACTTATCTGGGGGTTTGGTTAGGTTCCTAGCAGAAGAAAACCCAAAGGGCCCACATGTACTTCATCTTTTAATTCTTATCTTCCATCACAAGCTATGTCACAGCATTGTTTTAGATTTCTTTTTAAAAAATCAACAAAACCTAAGCTACAGTTAGTCCCACTAATGCTCCCTTTCACAGCTAGACTTTGGGAATAACCTCAGGTTGCACTTCCTTCAGCAGAAAATTTGGCTTGACCTACACAGCAATGAGAAACTAACAGTTCCTTGGATGTCTTAAATGGTTTTCTAATTGCCAGGTGTTACCTAGACAGGGCAGTGTTAAAACAATGAGAATAATGAGGGGTTTTTTTCTTGTGTTAGTTGATATATCATTTGTACTTAATATACGTGTGTATTTGAGTTCACTTTCAGGTCCTCTGGTTGTTGCCTTATGTTATGGAACTGACTGGGAATTCATTCAGGCAGGTGGATTTTGTTGTGTAGAACCATGCAAGGTTGCATGAGAGCACGTGAACGTCTTTCTAGTGGAAAAAGAATTGAGCAAGCTGACAGATGGATGAAGTAACTCTCCACAGCTTGAAGAGACAAAAGTTACTTTAAATATGCCCTGAGTGGTCACTCATTGTAGCCTGTTCTACTTTCCACAACACAGCAACTGGAATGGCCTTCCAAGGGTGCTGTGTTCTGTTGTAAGGGGCTGTGCTGAGGGCCAATGGGATTTCTGGTGATTAGGAAGCTGAAGTGCAAATTTCAGTCCTCCAGCCCAAAATTTGCCAGTAGGCGGCCCAAGGTTACTCCAACAGGTCTGTAGAGTGTCAGACTGTCACTGTTACAATGCAGGTCATAAAAATTACTTCTTGACTGTTTTCTGATAGGGTTGAGATTTTGTTTTGAAAAATAAAGAGAACTCTGTATAAATGATGGTGTAATTAGGTGATAAGTTCAGCTGACCTACTAACCTAATTGTAAGGGTTGGTGATGGATTTGGCCAAGGCTGCCATCTGGTCATACACAGCAGAGGCCTCAGACGTGTCACATAAGGTCTGGGCTGAAGGAAAAAGGGAAGTCCCTTCAGCAAGCGGGAATTCAAGTCTTGCTTTGCTTAGTGTCTTGAAACTCATGGTAAGAGATGAGTTTTGGAAATAATAATTTACCAATAAAACCAGTTGGTAAATAATGTTTCCACATTTCCTGCTGGAGGAATCCATGGCTGGGGTGAGAATCTGAGCTCAGGGTTGGGGTGTTTCTCTAAAGACGGCTTCATTACACTAATGCTGGTGTGGGTGATAGCGTTATCCGAGGGGGGATAATGCTTAACAAATGAAAAGGACTTGCTCTCGTTTATGGTTCCATATCATAGAGACAGGTGGGAGAGGATTAGCTCCTCTGCCTGTGATAAAGCAAATCTGTTAAGAGGGATTAAAGGGGCTAGATGAAGTGTTTTAATGGACTTATATGAAGTAATAGATTTTTGTCCTGGAGGAATGTTCAGGACTCACTGATACTTCTGCATTTCTTGTTCTGCTAAAATTACCTCCAAATTCTAAGGAATCCTGATTAATTGTTGGCTTTCTTCCAGCTGCAGCATTTGTGTCAGTCATGTTGGTGCTTCAGAAACCTGGAATAAAATTTTGTTCTGCTGTCACAGATTTACCAGCCTGACACAGCAAATGGGTTGCACAGGTCTCATTCTGATGAGCCTTCATTTGGTGGACAAGTTGCTTTCAGGGCAGACCTTCATCATTTGTACTTCCTTGCTGTGGCTGTTTCACCTTCCTCTGGCTTACGGGAGGAGCCAAGGCATGGCTTCTCCCCTTGGCATTAGTTACCCAGCCATATGGAGCCTAACAAGCTCCGTACTTACTGGAAGGATCTATTCAAAAAACTTGTAATCTCCAGAGTGATATTTACAGCTTGGTTTATATTTGTGATAAAGAGATGCAGTGCTGTTGGTTTTCCCAGTATGATGCTTGCAGCTGCCATTCACACTCCTCCTGGTGAAGGTGTCTTGAGGTGAGATTCTTATTTACTTGTTGATAAATACAAATTCAGGACAGGTTTCCTGCAGACCACACATGGTCTTACTTCTTGGGTTTAAGTATATGGGGGTGAAACCCTAATCTTAGTGAGTAACTTTTGATTTTAGCATCAAAGAACTAGAAGTTACCTGCATCTTTCAGTATTCCTGATACATGCATGTGAGAGTATTAGAAAAGGAAGAGAAACAATGTACTTCCAGGGGAAGTAATTCCGAAATTAGCTTGAAAGTGCGTGAATTGCTATTTTTTTTGAAGCAAGGAAACGTACATTTGGTTAGTCCTTAGAGAAAGGTGCGCCCGATAGCCGTGCCTCTGGCATTGGAAGCACGCCCTGTTTTGTAAACCTTTGTATACACTTACAGTGCTGCGACCTGAAAACAAACATCCTCCAGAACACGCTGTCCGGAGGCACAAACGTCTGACAGAGGCTCTGCCCCAAGGGGCTGAACCCCATTGTGTTTGTGCAAGAAGGAGCACAATGGGACATCCTGCCTGACCCCTCGGGGTCGCTGCCATAGTATGACTGGGTTTATTCCATGGAATATTTCTTCTGAATGGAGTTGATGGATTTACACCAGTGATTGAGTTGGCCAGGCGACAGAGCTCTTACACTACCTTAGGAATGTTGAGCGTTCATAAGTGTTAGGATGTGCTCAGTTTGT